GCGGGTCTTGAACCCACAGGCTCAGGCATTCCACTCACCTCAGCCTCCCAAAGGCGCGGGATTACAGGCTGAGCCACCGAGCCCGGCGTCATTCCCATTTCACAGATGAGGAACTGAGGCTCGAAGGAGTTAAGCAGCTCACCCAAAGTGACACAGGAAGTGGCAGAGCTTGGCCTCGATCCAGGCACTCTCACTCGGACTGCGGGAAGAAGTGGCCCCGCCACCCCCCAGAAGGTGCTCAGCCATCTAGAGCTAGAATCCGGCCGCCTCCTGGGAAGAACTCGGAGCTGTGCCCAGGCTCTGAGTCGCGAGGTACCTCCTCTCCCGGGCATCGTGGGGTGTGGCGGGCTGTGTTCGTGGACACGTGGGACTCATAGGGGCAGCCCGGCGAAGGGCGGCGTGGACCCGACTCCCTGCGGGCCGGGCGAGGTGCGGCTTCTCCCTGCCGGGCCAGGGATGGGGAAGTGGCCTCCTCACCGCCAGGGCTGGTGGCAGCCGTGTCCCTGCATCCCCGGGGAGGGACAGGCTCCATCAAGCCCCGGGGAGCGGAGGGACCCTGTGCCTGCCTCAGCCAGGCTGTCCCCCAGACTCCGCCCGAGGGGCCAGCCGCCCAGAGGATCCACAGCGTCCAGAAGAATCCTGGGGGCATGCGACCCCGGGGAAGGTTAGAGCAAACCCCAGGCCGCGCCCCTCTGCCACCGGCTTGCTGCCGCCTGGGCAGGGTGTGTGTGCCCCTGAGTGGCGGAATCGTGCACTGCACCCAGGAATCAAAGGCCCTTGTGACATTCTCCCCAAGACCCTCACACTGGCAGCCAATGGCAGCTGCAAGGAGTTTTCTGGGCAGGACAAAGGTGGGTCCAGGGACTCTCCCCACGGGCAGTTCCGGGCTGCCTCTGGGTACACTAGCCTGGGAAATCCACCGGCTTCTCCCGCCTCCGGAAGGACCCCCAGAGAGGGGGCCCTGGATGGGAGGGCTCCCCACCTGGTTCTGGTTTTACTGTTCGCCCAGAGATCAGGCAAGGCAAACTCCACTCCCGTCAGACCTGGATCTGAGCTTTGGCTTCATGACATTAGCACATGGTGGAGACTCCTGGAGCCTCAGTTTCCCCAGCTGTGGAACAGACGCACCCATACTTCACAGAATCGTTTAGACCCCAGGCGTTCGACCTTGGCTGCTTGGTGTCACATGGAGCATGAAAAGCCACCAATGCCTGGTCCTGTCCCCAGGATTTTAAAAAGCCCCCCTCCCTCAGTGATTCTCCTGTGAAGGCAAGCTTGAGGGCCCTGGTCTCGGCTGCACTACGGCCTGTGAGCCTCTCCTGGGCCTCTGAAAATGTCTGAGACCTAAATTAAAAGTCCGTGAAGGTGTTTTAGACACAAAACGAGCATAAACTGTAACTCAAAGACAGTATGAGTTACAAAATGAGTATGAACGAACTCAAAGACAGCAAAGCTAGCTGATCTTGGTGTTGGAAGTCGGGGTCATGATAACGTTGGGTGGTGGGTGGTGAACGGAAGGAATCTGAGGTGAGGCTTGGAGGAGCCCAGGACATTCTGTTTCCTGACCAGAGAACACAGGGTGCTCGCTAAATGAGAATTCATGGAAGCATGCACTTACGATCTGTGTATCTCTCTGGACTTGTGATGCGTGTCAGTAAAATTCACTAAAAAAGTACACTGGCTCCAAGACAGAAAAAAAGAAAGTACAAAATTGAAGCCCGGGCGTGGTGGCTCATGCTTGTCATACCAGCACTTTGGGTGGCCGAGGCAGGAGGATTGCTTAAGCTCAGGAGTTTGAGACCAGCCTGGGCAACATAGTAAGACCTCGTCTGTACAAAAATAAAAAATAAAAAAAAATTAGCCAGGCATGCACGGCCTGGAATCTCAGTTACTTGGGAGGCTGAGACGGGAGGACCACCTGAGCCCAGGAAGTTGAGGCTGTGGTGAGCCATGATTGTGCCACTGCCCTCCAGCCTGGGTGACAGTGAGACCCCGACTTAAAAAAAAAGAAGGTACAAAATTGAAATTAATGTTTTATTAACTACCTCCAAATGGAGCACATTGTGTCAAACAGACAACTGACTGCAATTTTATGTGTGTGTGTACATACACAAGGGGGGACCCCCAAAAACCCGAATTTATTTATAAAAAATTGTGTGTTTAAGCTTAATGTTTAAGCTTCAGTCACCTTCAAAGTCCTCTCCGTTGGATGCAACACACCTATCGAGACACTTTTTCCACTGCTCCAAACAGGTTTTGAACTTGTCAATTTTTGCCTTTTCGTGTTTCTGCTTTTTTTTGTTTGTTTGTTTCACCTCTTCCCCATTGGTCAAGCATTTCCCTTTGAAGCCTTTTTTTCATCCAGGGAAACAAAAAGTCGTTTGAGGGGGAGATTGGGCG